TATTCTCAAAAAAATCTGAAATCACTATCAAAAGCTTCGGTTTGAATTGAAATTTCTGGTTTACAAACCCAACAGCACTTGGATGCTGAAACTATTCACATTAAACCAAGTAAACACCAATCATTGCAAACTAAGGAGATTGTGTTCAGATTTACAATCAAAATGCATTAAACTACCTTCGGAGAACCGTAAATCATCCGCCAATTTTTGAGCAATGTCCATCTGAAAAATTTGTGAACTCTCAAGAATAAAATTCTTTATTGGTCTTGGGTGAAATCTGGTTGTTTCACTACAAAACCATCACAATATTTGTATTAAAAAAAGGCCACAACAACACATAATCATAGCAAATAGGTAACACAAAACTTAGGCGTGAAGAAGGAAAAAATGTACCTGAATATTTCCGTCTCCTAACAAGCTAGTGTTTCGTACATGACTTTGGATTAATGAAGGATTGCATGCCCACATTAATGCCTATACAAATGCAAATACAGCGCAATTAGATTTCATGTCTTGACAAAAAAATAAAAGCAAATGAAACGCCTAGTCTCAAGTCCTTTCCTAGATGTTTCATATGTCTATTAAGCATATTTTACCCGTAGACAATCAAAACTACAACCATTTCCTAGATGTTTCAACGGACATTTTCAGCCCCAAAATTGCAATAAAATCTTCAAATTTCCAGCCTTGATTTCGCAAGAAAATCTTGACAAACAAAACAAATGAAAAATAAATAAATTACAGCAATATAGTCAAATAATTTCAGGTGGACATGATGGACTAACCTCGGCACTGCTCTCTTTGATTGGCTACCACCGTCGCAAAACCCTTGTGTTGTGTCTGCATATGGCAGCACCCAAAACCAACCGATCGATGAGAAAGGATAGAGGGAAAGTGTGAACTAAAGATGAAAATTTTGAAGTGAGAAATTTTATTCAATTGTAACCAAGAGAAAGTATGGACCAAGGTGGAAACCTTGGCCTGGGAATTCAATCGTATCGTTGGAACTGAGTACTAAATAAGAAGAAGGCAGATGACTTTAAAGAGATAGGTGATACCCGAAAGTGTTTCAGGAACCCAAAACCGTTTTCAGGAACCGGAACATTTTTTTTAACTTAAATATGTACATTTTTAACTTTTAGTATTAGTAAGTTTGAATGAACAATAAGTAAATTTTGTCAAATAATAAGTAAATTAAATTACTCAAAGTGTAAATTTGTATTTCTGACTAAAACTTATCTTTCAGGTATATACTTACTAGTTTTAATTAAAAAGTTACTAAAGTTCATCAATAATTGCATGACACTTCTCCAAAACAGATTGACAATGCTCAAACTGGAATTTATTTGTACAAAAATTTCAGCTTCAACAAATATACTGGTCCTATCATGCTCATATGATTTAGGACTCATAGCTTCTTTTAATTTCAAGCTCTAAAAAAGGTTACAAGTGCTTTCCTTTACAAAAAGGAAGTGCCAAGAGCACATATAGATGATCATCTTAGTGAAATAGTACTATAAAAACCTACAGGTTCACAGTACCGTACAATATTTTGGGCAAAATACCAACTGACTGCATAGACAATGCCTACTATGGACAAAATGGAAGTTACTCAACTGGGAAGAGTCTCCCACAAAATGGGAAAACTCTGGACTGTGGACTGGGATGGCAGCAATCTGGTCTTAAAGCAAACAAAGAAACATGCATGAAGGCACCTTACCAACCATGTTGCAAAAAGGAAAAGGATCAAGAAATTCTCCGACAAGAGAAACAGCAAATTTTGCATAGACTTCAGCAATGTTAAAAAATGGCCAATGCTCAAAAGTTAAAAGAATGATTGTGTATTCTGTTTTTCTAAGCAACAGTAGTCCATAAATTGACCAGAAATCCGAGAACGATGATAATGCAATTAAATAAACAAAATCTCATCTTGTCAATCACGTCTTAAAAGAATAACTTATTTTGCAGGATGACAAAAAGGCTTCATAAATATGAAAGAATCTATAGTGATCTATCCATGACATACCAAGAACGATCCCTTGAGCACCTCTGTAGTATGAGCTTGTCAAGGTCCTGAACCTCTCTTGTCCAGCTGCAAAAGGTGTCATGAGCCCATCAGATCACGGAGAACAAAATATGCAGTAATAGGACAGTGGAAATAAATAGCAAGAGGGGCGCACTATCATCAGAAAGTAGTAGCTTGGATTATTTATGAAAAAGGAGGCTAAGCTTATTTTAAGTCATGAATCAAGGATCCCAACAATAAATTTCCATTAGCAGCACTAGGAAAAAGAGGAATACAAACCCAAATTGGGTCTGATCATGGTGAATTAGTACTGATTGTCAGATTCTAATCTTAAGGAGCAAGAAGTTGCATGATCAGCTGCGATGGCAAGACGAAACCTTCTGACAGATAAGAAGATTTACATATAATAACAACTTCTGGGGAAAATGTTAATTAGGATGGCACGGCATGTTGAGAACAGTAGAGAAAGTACAAACATTTGACTTGTACTAGGTAAAGCACAAAATGTCCTGCTGTATTTTGTGAAATTACAGCTAGTTCTATGTCCAAAGAGATTTACCACTTGAGCCTATGATAGGAAAAATAAATAAATAAAAGTAAAGGTTTATCATAATTTGTTACTGTTTGTCTATATGGATACACATAACATGTTTATTTCCTTTATTTTATATCATTTTCCTAATTTATCGTGTTTCTGGTAAATACAAGTAACATCTGTTCTCTGGTATAATCTCATCATTTGACTCTCATCCAGGGACACTTTGTGCGTGAACTTCTGAATGGTACCTATCTAAGGCAGGACTAAAACCAAATTTGATCCAATTTTGGTTTTGTTTCTTTTGCTTTTTTTTTTTCCTCAATTGAGTTATTCAGCTCTTTACATGATGACAGATCATTCAGTGCCTAGAAGCTGCATTTGTGCTGACAACCTATTACTTTGCTGAAATTTGTGCGTTCTAGAGTCTCTGTAATTTGGTTGGAAGTGCCCATTAACTATTTTCAGAAAAGAACTTACTTTTAAACCTCTGTAAACCTCTAAGCAAGATGCCTCTGTAGAGAATCTACCGACGGTTGAGTCAAAAGATTTATCATTTACTGACCCAAGAAATTACTGAGTTGTCACGAATTTTTTTTTGAATCCAAGAAATTAATTTCTTTCTTAAGCAATAGTAATCTACATGCAAGAGTTTGATGTTTATATACATCATATATATGTATATATATTCGAACAATTCATGGGCTGTCATGTTACATCAATTTAGTTACGTGCTAGTCCAAGAAACTTCATCACGACAAGTGTTAAAGGATGCTTATATATATATATATAGGTAAGGTCTTTTCATAGTTAGTTTTCTCTGCTTTCTTGCCATGTTTTCGTGCTAAAATCTGCAGTAAAATTACAATAATGATCCTCAAAGCTGAATGGGGGTATGAAGGTTGTAGGTGACGCTTGGAAATTAACTAGAAACAGTACATGCTGTCTAATTAAGGCCTAAAAAAAAAAACTTGGACTTCTTGATTCTTTTGCAAACGGACATTTGATAGCTAGCCCAAATTTCTCTTTGACATTTCACCAAACATCTTATATGCATTCCCAAATTAATCACATTCCAGAATTAACTGCTTTTGCCATAAATGCCGACACCCTGCTATGTTTCACATACAGGGTCTAAGTCATTTCCCATACATTTTTCAAGTTGACAATCAAATCAAATGAAAGATAAACAAATTAAAGCAATATAATGAAGCGATTTTCAAGAAACATGATAGTCTAACCTTTCGGCTGATATTTTTTATCCGCTCTCTTGCTTGATACCACCACCCAGCCTTAATAAAATTCTCAACCTTTTTGTTTGGTCTGCATATGCCCGATCGATCAAGGAGTAGAGATGGAAAGTGTGGACTGAAAAATTTTGCAAGGAAACAATTTCTATATTCCATCGTGTCCTGAGGTGAGAAAATAAAAAGAAGGCAACCAACTTTGGAGAGGCAAAACCGTTTCAGAAATCGGTGGTTTTTTACTAAAATATGAAAATCTTTTACTTTTAGTATTAGTAAGTTTAATTTAAACAAAAGTAAATTTTATCAAATAATAAGTAAATTAAATTACTCAAAGTGCAAATTTGTATTTCTGACTAAAACTTATCTTTTAGACATATACTTACTAGTTTTAATTAAAAACTTACTAAAGTTAATATTAATTAGTTTAATATAATTTTTAAAAAGTCGTTAAAAAATTTGATCTGTCACTAAAGGTAATAGAACCCTATAATAGTAGGTTTCTCTAATATCGTTATCATAACTATAGGCACTGTAGCATTGTCCATATATATATATATAATAAAAGAAGAAGAATCTCAGAATATCTGTATCTTGATGATGAGGGGATCATTATGGGAAGAAGCTAAAAGTAATCGTACAAAAGATGATGATACACTGAAACATGTTTGTTTCTTTAAACCAAAAACATATATAATCAGTAAACATGACTTTAATTTCAATTCTTTCTGGCATAATCTTATACGGGATTTTTGAGTGAAAATGTGATTAATTATTTTTCATCTATCTCCTTCTTGGCCCTTCCAACTTCTCAATATTTTCATAAATATAATTTAAAGTGAGCTTAAGCTGTGATTGGAAGGAATGACATTTAGTTTAGGGCGTCACTTGCTTTATGAAACTTACATGGTCCGGCAACGAAGTTAACGGTCGGAAAAATAGATACTATTTTTTTACATAATATAGATTTTTCTCTGCTTCTGCAAATTTAATTAACTTTTGGTGTTTTCAAGCTCGTCCAAAATTGTATCATTAATTCTCATCCAAAATTGTACTCGAAAACCAAAATTAAATTCAACTCCGAAGAATATAACAGCAAGAGCATCTTCACGGGAATGCTGTTCAACAGCTTAAATATGACTAACTCCAATTAGGCACCTTCACTCCTAGAATGCTCCATGCCAAGATCCACCAACTTCCCTCGAATGCTGTTCGGATACTGCAGTATATCTGAGCTTATCCCGGCAAGGGGGGGCACGAAATAGGATTCTGACTGGTCGGGCCAGCGTCTAAAAGTAAAACTGGGATCTCTCTGTTTTATTAAAGTTTCCGAATGAAAGTGGAATTCTAGCATAAGTTTCAAATCCTCATGTCTGGGAGCTCGCCGATGCAACGCTGCTGCGTAGGGAATAGGAACATACATTAACGCAAAATTTTGAGTTTCGGATGCAACCAGCAGCTCCGGCTCCTCTTACTCGACAAAGCGTTCATCTTTCGCATTTTGCTAAAATATTTTAATTGGGGTTCTTGTTCTCATCAATTGTACTACTCTAGTAACTGTTTCTTTAATTTCACCTTCGGTTTTCTGCATTTCCATCCTCGCTAACTTTGAAAGTCAGAATCTTTATTCATGTTGTTGAACAGAATCAAATCATTTTGTTGCGTTGTTGGTCATTGCAGAGAAAGACAGACTCTGTTTAACAGAGAATTGAGAGGAGAAATTCATGTTCCCAGTTGCAAGATCTTTGCGTCGTCAAATTGAACTTTCCTTATGCTATTTGCAGATTTAGATCTTCATCATCTTTTAAGTGTATTTGTGTTCCACTAAAAATTTTTCGAGGGCCTGAAAGAATGCACGGTAAATTACTGCATTTCTGTACTGATTTACTGTTGCGATTTTCATGCGCCGCAAGGGTTATCTTATCTCCTCCAATTTTTAAATTTTTACCACAGCCCTGAGTCAATGCCGACATCTTTTTACCTGCTCTTCAATCCGATTCAGAGCCCTACCTAGGAAATCTGCCAATTAAATAGCTGGGCCATTTTTCTACACCTACCTGCAATATTCTCGTTTTTTTTTTTTTATTTTCTAAATGAAAGTGCAGTTTTAGAGCACTTTGATTTTAGAGCCCATCTACATCATTACATCAGTCTGCTTGAAAATCCAAAGAAAACCGTCAACGAGCAAGTCATGCCAATGGCAATCCTCTTCAAGCAAATTCCCCTCTTCACTGTCCTCCCCCTCTCCCTTCTCTCCCTCTTCCTACTCTTCCGCCTACTCGCCAACCACCAACCCCACCGTTTTTCCCAGCTACCAAAACCCTTTCCTCCACCGCCTAAAGTGGCCTACTTCATTTCCGGCACTAACAATGATGGCCCAAGAATCTTCAGGCTTCTTCAAGCCACATATCACCCAAGAAACTACTATCTGTTGCACCTTGACCGGCGTGCATCGGATAAGCAGAGGGATCGGCTTGCTAGAATTGTGGGTTCTGTTGAAATCTTCGTTGCAGCTGGGAATGTGAATGTTATGAAGAAGTCAAACCCGGTAAACGAAGAGGGCTCCTCTCCTCTTGCTTTGATTCTTCATGGTGCGGCTATTTTGTCGAGGTGGAAAAAAGACTGGGATTGGTTTGTTAACCTTGCTGCTTCCGATTATCCTCTCATTCCTCAGGATGGTATGATGGCCTGTCTTTTTCAATTCATTTGACTTCACTGTCTTCATTTGATTACCGCTGTTATCTTAATATACTTTACCATCATAATTTTTTACTGCTTGTCCTCAAAGATATGCAGCATTGTTGCGCTTTTTATTCATTTTATATTTTGTAAGCCTGACTAATCGGGTAAGCGTATGCCTCGAGACTGGAATTATCTGGAAGTGGATGGCCTTACTTGCACTGTAATCTGAATTTTGGCTGAAATTATATAGTAATCAACCAGCTCATTCCATGAAGATATTCAGCTTCTCGGTAACTGTTTATTTTATCTAATGTTCAGATGATCTGTTACTTATTGATCACTTCCTGTGTTGGACATGGTGTTGAGTTACTTAATTGCAATATGATAGTGGAAGGAGGGTTGGCTTCAATAGTAAATTTGCAGTCATTGCATGTTAAGGTTAGCAAAGTTTTAAACTTGCATACTTTACTGCTTAGGTGGATTGAAAGCTTAGATACATATTCCTCGTAATTGCTTTAGATCTCATCTAGTTTGATGTAATCCTCTTGAATCTTTTTCTAGCAATCTTAGGTCTAGCTTTTAGTTTTAGATTCTTTTGGGTGGTTAATCATAACCAGTGACTGTGCACGTTGTCCAAAAATCAAATTGGTGCCTTTAGTCATTTTAGTAGTTAATTAAAAAAAAAAAAAAAAGGCTTCTGTTTTTCCATCAAATAGGAAATTCAACACCTTGGCCTTTTATATGCTTCTATAAGCCTGAGAATCTCTGTAAACATATTTTTGTCGAATGATTGAAATTGAAATGCTTAGTTAGCTAATCTGTCATTTTATGTTGGATGAAGTGTAGTTATCATATTCTCATATTTGCAGATTTTCTCCACATCTTGTCATATTTACCAAGAGAGTTGAATTTCATAGAACATGAGACTAACATCACCATGCAGGAGTAAGCACCTCTATGCCCCATCTATCTGCTCTATTAATCCAAAGACATGTATGTAAGAAGTTTAGATCATATGTTTCAGATATCAAAGGATTACCGACGTGATTGTTGATCCTCGCCTTTATCTTCAATCAGCAGGAAGAATGTTCATGGGCAGTGAAAAGCGTACGATACCAAATGCCTTCAGGTTTTTAACAGGTGCGTGCCCACCTTTTTTATATTTTCCTTAACCCTTCCTATCGTCATGGATTTGAAGCACAACTAATGTATCTATGCCCCTTAGAGGTTGTCCAACAAGCACTTTCATGAAGGAATTTCATTAATATCAGCAAATTAGTGCAGGAAGGAACGTTTTCTTTCTGACTTTCTGATTAAACACTGTGAAAGTTGCTATTGGACCCTTTGCAATGTGCACATTTCTCTGTTATTTCTCTTCCTGCAAGAAAAGTTGAGAACCCCCAAGACAATCATAAGTTATTTCGCCTTCTCTACAAGTCCCTTAGTTATTCCTGTTGTTTCACTGCACTAACATTTCTGAACCTTGCTCATCTGTACCAGGTTCTCCACATGTGATTCTCAATCACAAACTCGTTCAGTTCGCACTCCTAGGATGGGAAAATTTTCCAAGGATACTTCTTTTGTACTTCTCAAATACTAGACTTTCTCACAAAGCCTATTTCCAGACCCTTGCTTGCAATTCAGAGTTCTCTCGCACTGTGATCAACTCAAATTTGCGATACACTGACTGCAACTCCCCTTGTTCCGAAAGCCGTCAGAGCGGAAGGCCTATGGATTTTGGCAGAATGCTCGCAAGCGGAGCAGCTTTTGCTGGAAATTTTTCAGTAAATGATCCAATTATGGATGTTATTGACTCGGTTGTGCTCAATCGTGGTAAAGGAATGCCTGCACCAGGCGCATGGTGCTTGGGAAGGTCATGGAGTGGCAGGGTTTCTTGCTCGGAATGGGGTGATGTTGATATATTGAGGCCTGGTCCAGCTGCAAGAAGGTTTAAGCTGCTGCTCCTTAAATTAATGAAGAGCAAATCATTCAGGTCCGACTTTACTTGACCAGTGATGCTTGGCAACTACTGCTTCAAAAGCTTTAGGACTCAATCTGCAAACTTACAAAAAGCTGTAGTTTGTCCTGTACAAAACAAAAGTGGAGGCATTCCATTAATTTGTGGATAATAGGTCAATTGAGGTGTAGGTATTCGCTTTTAGTTCTATCTTCTTGTCAGCTATATAAAATTAGTGTCTCGAATCATTAGCAGCCATTTATTTCCCAGAAGTTAGCTGGTGGTCCCAATGGCTGCTGTTCCCAGAAGTTAGCACCATGGTAACTCTTCTAGAAAAACTTTTTGCGCTGCACAATCATGCATGTATCTCTGCATTCTTCACAATCATGCACTGAGGACTTGAACCAAACCCATTTGAGAAAAAAGAAGGACAAGTACTAGCGTTGGAACTTGTTTAAGAATCTAAAAGTTGACCGAAAGCAATCATAAAAATTGGAAAATGTTGACCGTTGAATCCGTGCTGGAATGTTGAAAGTCGAGCAACTTGTGGCTGCAAAAATGAGTTGGATTTAGACCGCAGAGGTTGTAGTCGTGGCTACGGCTGTGACTTGTGAGCCTGTTCCTATATTTGGCTTAGCGGAGACATTCAAATAAAAGTAAAAATTCCAAACTTTTATTTGTATAATGACAAAAATTCCGACCTTATTAAATATATGGCTTTGGCTGTAACGTCTCTGTTAAATGATTACAAAGTCGTTGATGCTGTCACGAGTGGCAACACCTTGAGTTAAAAAGAAAAAAATTAAACTGATACTTTGTGTTGGGCTTCAAGTTTAAGGATGTGATTTACTTTACCATTTATGTACTACTTCTGTTACTTTTTTCTTCGGTACTAAAATATTGTCAAGTGCGTCGAAAATATGGGCAAAAAAGCTCAATTGATTGAAATATTGACGTACTAATTATGCCTAAGAAATGTAGCTATCGTGCCTTGTGCTTCATTTTGGATTTCAATAAAATATGAAAGAATGCCATGCCGATAGAAATTTTTTTTTTTTTTTGGCCTAAAATGATAGGAGATTTTATTCATTACCAAAGTATAATTACATGCTGAGTAAGGGCTCAAGTTGAGTTGTACAAAAGTGTACTGAGACATTAAAAATCTAAGAATTTCTCGTCAAAAGATTTGTTTTGAGCAAGTTTGCTCAATCTTTTACTTAAACTGCTATGTTCAACATTTGGATTATCAAATGAGCATTTCCTAAATACTGAGCGAAGGCTGTTTATGTCCTTCAGGCGTGCAACATTTGGATTAGTCTAAGAATTTGATGAGAGGATATGCGTTTATAAATTTTAATTATTTAATGATGCCAGTTAGATGCCAGTTAGTTAGACACAATCACTAATTGAAACAAGAAACTGATGGTAATAAAAAATACAAATTCAAATGACAAAATTTTATGTGCCTTAAAATGGCAGAGCTTGCGCCAATTATTTATGGAGTTTAGGTCTCATTAAACTCGAAAGACAGCCGGTTAGGTAATTTGAATGCTTCTTGTTAGAACTGAGAAGTTTATTTTATGCAAATGAAAAGCAATTTTTCCATTCGCGGATCAAACTAATATCATATGCAAATAATCAATTTGAATAAAATAACAAACTCGAATAAAGTTTTTATCTTTTGATAAAAAATGTGAAAAAAGTCTTGGTGGAGTAACTCTGGGCCGGGGACCAGGGTTGCTGACTACTGAGGTAAAGCCCATTTTGGCAATTCCATAACGTGTAGCCCATTACGTGTTAGCCCTAGTGTCGCCTGCCACCACGTAAGTCCCTTATAACTACTTGCCATTCCTAAAACCCTATCAGCCGCTTCAGCAACACTTAGCTCCTCCCCTCAGCACTCGGCTCCTCCCCTCAGGTAAACTTCTACCACGATTGGAATTCGGAATTGTTGTTCCATGCCGATAAACGGTAGTCAAGCTTTATATACATAGATCTAGAGAAGGATTAAGTGTTTTCTGAAACAAATTTCCAATTATTTTGGTGATTTGATTAGGTAAAACATTTGTGTGGCAGTTTACAGCAATGGCTCCCAAAGGTACTCTCGCTCTCTTTCGTTTTATCAGTATCAGAGTTCAATTATGCATGCTGTTATATGCTGTAGTTTTGGAAATTAGCCGAGCGGAATAGGAATGCCGTTCTTGAGCTGTGGCTATACTTTGGTTTGCTATATTGGAAATGTGTTTTTCTCTTTCAGTAATTACTAGTAAATTTTTTTAAAAAAAAAATTTGCTGTGTATTTGTTGTTTCTTATATAGTATTTATCTCGTGTGTTAGCCTTGTATGTTTGACTGCATGAGTAATTAACTTTGGGGATGAGCGTGTTAAGGCTGGTCAGAACTTCAGATGTTTTGGAAATTTGTTTCCTATTTTTTGAAAGGGACATCTTTTATAAGAAAGCTTATTCATGACATGGAAGTAAAAGCCTAGCTAGTGACATCTACCTAATTTCGTGTTTCAAAACAACAGGCTACTTTAGTACTCATAACTACTTCAGCTGGAACATCCTTCTGTTCATTTTATTGAATGCAAAACTCTTCACTGATCGAATTAGGACAGTGAGGAACTATGAAAAGGGTGCTGGCATCAATGGTTTCTAGTTCATGATTCGATGCTAATTATCTACACATGTCTAGAGAAGTTCATGGGTTTTTTCCTTACTATCAACCCTTGGAGGAGTTCGCGTTAATTGCTATAACTATTCACTAATTATCTTATACTAGTAGTTTTTAGATCTTGAATCAAAGGGAAGTAAGTAACATGGTCATCCAGGAAGGAGAGTTGAGTCCTAGTCCTTGCTGCTAAGTTTGTAGGTAAATTGAGTTTAGTTATATCAATGAAAAGAAAACAATAATTCCACTCTCCTATTTTTTTTAGTAATTGATTATTGGTTGTTTTGGGAACTGGAGCAGTTTTCTGTCATTCCCACAAGTTCATTCCTGGAATGGATGGGATCTTTATATTACTCATTATCTAGTTTAGCTATTAATTGGAGTATGCTGTTCGTCGCCTCTGTCAGTTTATTAATTGTGGTTTAGCAGATTTTAAGTGGTTTAGTCCGCGTTTCATTCCATCACATTGAGTTTGCAAATCTTCCATTCTCTGTTTCGTGTTTGTGGATGTGCAACAAGTCTCTGTCAGAGTCTCTATTCTACATGATTAAAGGGGATATTTTACTTCAATCTTCTTCCCATAAATCTGTCCCTTGGCATTGTTTGAGCACTGTTTTAGTTCAGATATGTGGTTGTTGAATATGTATGTTCTCATGTAGATTTTTGAGAGATATAGCATCCTTAATTTAGAATATGAAGGATTAACTTTTAGGGGTTTATAATTTGATCATTCATTGGAATTTCAGGCCTTTTCCGTTTCTGAACAATTTGCTTTCCTTGACCATTTGCTTTCTTTGACCGAGACTTGTCCACAAACACATTAGTTCTACATTTTGTTTAATCACGTGATGATTTAATGAATTTTTTTGGAATTTACAGCTGACACCACAAAAAAAGTTGATACAAAGGCTCAGGCAGCCAAGGTTGCCAAATTTGTCAAATCTGGGACAACTTTCAAGAAGAAAGCCAAGAAGATCCGGACCAAAGTTACCTTCCATCGTCCTAAGACATTGAAAAAGGACAGGAACCCGAAGTACCCACGCATCAGTGCTCCTCCTAGGAATAAGTTGGACCATTATCAGATTCTCAAATATCCGTTGACTACTGAATCTGCCATGAAAAAGATTGAAGATAACAATACCTTGGTTTTCATAGTTGACATCCGTGCTGATAAGAAGAAAATCAAAGATGCAGTGAAGAAGATGTACGACATACAGACCAAGAAAGTGAATACTTTGATCAGGTAACAGTTATGTTGAAGGGCATCATATTATTTTGCCTGTTCCTATGCAGAATGCTGAATTTAGTTGATTGATTCTCTTGAAAAGGGTGTGCTTGCACAGTTTGCCCTTTGGGTTGTTATATCGATTATAAAACTTCAAAAGATGCTTCACTTCTTATCTCACAGACATTATATCTAGCAATGTTCTTGGGATTCCATTTTGAATTACATTGAAGTGAAAATATGTAGACCACGGTTCTGTGCTTTGGATGAATTAAAGCTCTAATCTGAAATCACCAACCTTTCTGTTTTGATGCCAGGCCTGATGGAACAAAGAAAGCGTATGTTCGGTTGACTCCAGACTACGATGCTTTGGATGTGGCAAACAAGATTGGAATAATATGAATGAATGTAGTCATTGTTTTGTTCCGATCAAGATACAGTCTTTTAAGTGTGACAATTTGCTAGGCTCTTTTGTCCTGAATTGTAGTTCTGTTTTGGTAACTGAAAATCTTAATCAGCATTTTCCTATACTGGAGATACCATTAGTTTAATTTCGAGGAAACTCATGGTGTAGTGAAAAATTTTGCCGTTTGTTCTTTCTACTTCTCTGGGCTTTTTATTTGACGTTGTGGATATATTTCTTGGTAATATGATTCTGGAAATGTGAGAGCCATGTTACACTACTTGGAGTTTGAGTTATGTGCGTAGTGGAGAGTATTAGATCGAAGTTTTAGAAAGCAAGTCGTCTAATGCGATTTTGAAGACAAGCCAATTGTATGATTTGCCAATACGTGATATTCTATAAGGTTGAACGTATTGTAGTATCAGTGTTCGATGCTAAGGTGATAAGAACTCTCCCTCTCCCTCTCCCTCTCCCTCTTTCTGGTACTTAGCATCTTACTGCAAATGCTTGTGGCAGGATTTTTCGATCCCTCTAGATCAAAGTAGGTAACTGGAATTGGTTTTGAAGGACGAAAGTCCCTCGTGGTGGACGGCGGTGTTTGGCTTGTTAGATCTTGTGAATGGAAGCTGAGGTGTAGGGTAGTGTTTTTGTTGATAATTGAGGACATTGTGGGTGGAAAGGGGTACAAGATTTGCTCGATTTAAGACATCTGGTTTTTATGGGGATCAATGGACGTCACCTACTGGTCGCTTAGGATGTAGGGTTAACTAGGCTGATCTGTGGACGTTACCTGCAGATAACCTAAGACGGGGGATTCACTAAAATCAAGTTTCAAAAAAATTTGTAATAATTTGGCCTTTGAATTGTAATAATTTGAGTTTTATTTAAAATATTATCGTCATTGAGAAATACAATAATATGTCTGATTCCTAATAACTCGCACGTCTCTTTTTTTTTAAAATTTTATTTAAATGCTTCTCAGTAGATATTTGTTACAGTATATGCTAAAGATTGCTTCCATTTCTACCGAAAGTGATA